TATGAGGTACCCCGTATAAGAATTCAAAATCCGGCTACCCCGATTCTGAATTGAGACAGCCGGATTCTGAATCGGGCGGATTCCAATCTGGGGTACGACATATATATACAGTATAAGATTACAGCAATCGTATAATTATATTGACTCAAGTTCACACAATAATTATTTATTAGTTTCTTTAATAATGACAGAATCAAACGAATTTGTTCCAACACTTTCTCTTTATTCTATCGACCAATCAGCTCTATTAAAGCGATGCAGAACTTTGATTGAAAAATTTATATCTCTATATAACAGTCCACCAGATTTTATTGCCCGAGCACCAGGCCGAGTTAATCTTATTGGAGAACATATCGACTATGCAGGTTTAGGTGTTTTACCAATGGCTATTAATAATGATGTAATTATTGCTGTTAATTTTTCAAATAAGAAAGGTACAAACGTGAGATTATCAAACATTCTTGATGAAAAATATGAGCAAAGATGTTGGGATTTTGAAGGAAAAGACAAAATTGTTGAAATTATTGTTGAAGATGGCGTATCTGAATGGAGTAACTACTTTAAATGTGGTTATAAGGTAAATGGTCTCATTATTTTTAAATATATTTATGATGTTAAAAATCTATAATTCTTTAATATTAATAATGATAATAATAATAATAATAATATTATTATTATTATAGGGTATTCTTCGACATCTTGGAATTGACAATCCCGTTGGAATGGATTGCCTAGTGGACGGGATTGTACCAATAGGCGCTGGGTTATCTAGTTCTTCATCATTTGTTTGTTGTGCCGCTTTGGCTACAAGCCTTGCTAATAATGCTATATTGACCAAAAAACAAATTACTGAGATATCTATTGAATGTGAAAGGTTTGCCGGAATGAACTCTGGGGGGTAGGTTTTCTATCCTATTGCAATAAAATCATTTCTATCCAAATTTACTAATTTTACTATTGTTTTCCTTAAAAAAAAAAAAAAAAAAGAATGGACCACACTGCATCAAAGTTCTGCATG